AATAGATAAAATATCCCAATACCTTTCGCCACGTTCATAAGTGCCATATCTAAAACGTTTATTGAATACTGGGAAGGGATGTATATTCTGTCTTTTGAAAACTGTTTATAAACTGCAACATATCCCAATTAAGCACACTTTGACGCTCAAGCTTTTGACACAGTTCAGCTTTTGGTTAGAATTTTCCCATCTTGAAAAAGAACATCAACTATTCTAATACCCTTACGTGCAATAAATTGCGAAATTTCATTAAAGAGTAATTAGCCTGCCAAATTATTTGTGACATTTAAAAATATCGACCTACCAGTAAGAACTTCTCCATCCGTATCCTGACAAAATTGCTGCGGATTACTTGTGCTGTCACCAGATTTGAGCCAGTAACAATGACGGTCGTTACAGTAATGAATGTCATCATTGGTTTTCCATGCAAAATAATCTGAAAATGTAATCATCATGGTTCGTCATCAACAAGAATAACATTATTATGTTTATTTACAGTATATGTACATAACAAACGCATCAATATAAATATATGTATAAAACGAATGCACAATACTATTGCGTGTAAGTAGATGCCGTGCTACTGAGAGAGAGAGAGAGAGAGAGAGAGGGCAACAGAGAGAGTATTTAGCTGTCTTGACGTGTGCATATGTTTTTATTCTACTGGTTTAAGTTTTCAACGGCTACTAAATGGCTAATGAAATATACCGCAGTTTTTTAATGTCATCAGTGGCTGTATAACTTGCATTAAAAAATGTTTATACAAACCAAATGTACAATACAATCACACTAAGGTATCGATACAGAGTGAGTATTTAGCTGTCTTTACAAGACCATAATACAATTTTGAAGTTTTCCGCCATTCGGAGGCTGCTAAATGACCAATTAATTATGAGATACCTACCACAACGTTTCTTAATGAAATAATGCGTATCTCCAGGAACTATTTTGTCTGTCTTATGATGTAAATAGCAACGTTGTATGGGTATGTTAAAAGTGGCACCCTTGCATCTGATGTCACGAAGACATTCTTTTTCGCACTCATGAACGTTTGTCATGAACAGTTCACGTAGGTTAAACCCATCGTTCCGGTAGCCTGCTTGTATTGTTGAATAACAATCTAAAAATAATGTATGCTGGTATTTATTTTGTAAATACATATTGTTTGTTCATACAAATGCCCAAGTCACAATCGAGAATATTTTTCATTTCCCATATTCAACCGAGAATCCAACCTGTATTACAGGGTATACAAGAAAGAAAAATGCATATTCCCAGACTGGTTGGGATAGTTCTAATGTAATTACACCTAGAAAATCAATTCAAGATTGCATACAAATCACGATGGCAACATGCAAATTACTTACAATGCTGGCGCATGCAAATATAATTCTTGGTCACATTGCAGGGGGAGTTCTGCCAACTCCACTTTCCGTCGTTAAACTTTAAAGAAACGCAGAGCCTCCCTTTTACACAATCTGGCTGGCCTGGGCCCCAATGTACCTCTTCAACATTATTCCCTAGGGGAAATAAATGTTTTTAATCCAAGGATGTGGCTCTCACTGAACTGATACTGATACTGGTAAAGCGTTTTTAGTTTTAAATCTATAAATGAGGATATAACATTTTGAGATTTTAATTCACCCAATCGGTATACCTTATGAAGAAATTTGAGTAAAATTATCTGGCCGTTTGTTTGTCTGTACTTCCGTCTGTCTGCTTGTCTTTCCGTCTGTCTGTCCATCTGTCTGCCTGCCTGCCTGCACGTCTGTCTGTCTCTGTATCAGTCTTAATCGCATGAGCTTATAATTGCCTACCAGTTACATGTTTTATTTCGAATGTCTTACCTGACGACCACTGCCAATGCCCAGTAAAATTTTCTCTCCTTGCTCCTATCCAGAATTCAATATCAAACTTTGTTATGATGGCTGAGATGAAATCATTCATGTACTGGTCGTGGATTTCTGCCAACATGCCATGGTGTTGACTTTTACAACGCCTTCCTGCCTCGAACCACGTGAGATTATCTTCGACGATATGAAAGGAGTAGCCTAACTGGTATCTTGCTTGTGCTGAATTAGAAAAAAAAATTAATGTCAATATAAAATGGACACTTTTTCAACTATTTTGACATGATATTTCAGGGCCGATTAAGAATGTGTTAATCTCGCTTTGCCCCTACCAAAGGCTTTGCCATTACGACTCGGTACTTTGCCCTTTTTAACCAAAACATTATAAACCATTCCATTAAAACAAATGCTTACTTCCATGCACGTATTAAGCTTAAATTTGTGAATAAACCACACAAAAAGGAGAATCAGAAGTGGACTGTTTATGATCACGTTATGACATACACACTGAGGCAAGAACCACTCTGGAGAGCAAACACCACAGGCTCTCCATCGAGGACGTCACTTTCTTTCTAGCATGCTGGAGCGCAGCAGCGTTCATGTTGAGCTGTCTCCACCATTGGTAGGCTCTAACAACTGGACCAATGTTCGGATTTTTGGCTACTTCTGTCTTGTATGCTTGCCGTGCATTTATACACAATTCTTGACAAATAAAAAAAAGCCGTAGGGTTTTGGGTCCGGAAAATTTTGATATTTTAGAGGGAGAACGATGCCATTTGGCACGGTTTAGAAGTATGACTTAGCAAGTCAAAATTCTAATATCAAAATGGGAAATCAGTATTTTTTTTTTCAGAAATCGAAGGGGGCATCACGACGCTTTTGGCAAAACTTTATTCCGACGACCCGTGTAAATTTTGACTGCAACAAAATGCGGTTTTATAATGAGCTGTAATAACCACCAATTCAGTCATTTGGTTCTACAGTGGAGCCCCCTACCATAGTACGTACTATACTTAAGAGTTCCTACTTGTACTAAATGAAGCTGTACAGGTAGGAGCAGTAACGTCACCGCAGCCGTCACCGCCAGCAGAATTTAGCGTAAGTAATCTACATAAACACCTGAATAGTAAATTGAACTGGAAAGATAACACCGCAAAGGGTGAAAAAGAGGCACGACAAAGACTGTAGTTTTTAAGATCACTGAGAACTTTTACTGATAGCGTGCCTATTACAGTCAATTTTACATGTGTGTAATTGAAAGCATCCTGGTGTACGGAATTATATTATGGTATAGAGGAACAACTGGGAAGGAAAGAAATAAACTAACCAACGTTGTAAAAACTGCAAGCAAGATTTACGGGCAGGATCTACCCAAACTGGATGATATTTTTAAAGACAGAATAGAAAAAAGGACTGTTAACACCATGGAAGACTCTTCTCATTCTGCATCATCACTTTTTACGTTTTTACCAAGCAATAGTAGACTGATAACTTTTAAAGACAGTAAACGCTTTTTAAACAGTTTTTTTTCAAGTGCAGTGACGCATTTTAATTAAATCTCAAAACCTAATTTTCAATTTATCTATTGTATTACTTTTACTTTGTGTATTATCAGATGCGACTGGAAAAAGAGGGGAGGGGCTAAACCGCCATTCCCGTTTACTGTCTTTCTCCTTCGCAATTCAGCCACACAATGAAATATTTCCACAGGTTCCAAGGCAGCCTCCCATGGCTAAATCAACTCAAAACATTGATCACTGGCCTCACACATGCGTTCATTGTGATAAAAGAATAATAAAAAAGGGACATTAACTACGTTAAGCATACCACATACGGGCTCCTGGCCGCTCCATGTCCCGTTATCCTGACACACCCGCAAGAGGTCGCCCTTTGTCCGCGAGGTACCAGTAACACACGTGTAGGTGATATTGTCTCCTATGTGTAAACCGCCGACCACCTGACAGACGTTGGCAGGCGTTGCGGGAAGAGGACAGCGTTCAACTGGAACAAAAATGTCAAGCATCAAGGGCTAAAGTTCATAAAACTGTTTCTATAGATACACGCTTTTGGCAAAAATTTATTCCGACGACCCGTGTAAATCTTGGCTGCAACAAAATGCGGGTTTAAAATGAGCTGCAATAACCGCCCTTTTTCCAAAGGTCATCAACGAATGTGCAGGTGTCAAATGGTCGTGCAGCCACCTTTGCTACCCCCCCCCCCCTTTACACGGCGTTCTTTCTCCGTCCCGTAGTAAGGCCCCGTTTAAGATTAACAATAATGATACTGGCCGATCATTGAGCATAAATTTTGCAACCAAAGCGATGCTTGTGCCTCCTTTCTTCGACAACACAGCGATGCCAGTTTCATGGTCGCACAAAGAACGCAGAAGGACGCCGCCCAGTGTAAAAGGGGTTTAAACAGTTTTTGAGGAGTTTTTATGGTCACGACGAGCGTAAAAAAAAAGTCAATTCGCGACAGATTAAAGAGAAGTGCTTCCGAAAGGCCTATATAAATTTGATAATATTTCAATTTGATTTAATAAAATAAATTTTACTTTGACTGATATATATTATCAACGGACAACTTTCTGTTGAAAACCTGTAGCTTACAGGTTACCTGTGTAGCTGGAAAAAAAGGCCAACATATAAGCTAGATGCTTCGGGCCTGAAAAATGGTTTTATTTCTTCTGTAATCTATACTTGACACGGGGTGCGAAAAATAAAGAATACTTTCAATCAAATAGGTGATTTTGAAGGTTTAAGAACAAACTTTCTTTTCATAATCACAATTGAAAAATATTATTTTCTTTACTATTTCGGCAAATTTATTATGTTGGTGGTTTGGGGGCGATCATATTTCTCTATATATTGCACTGAGAGTAGTATAATTTGCCCTGTTTATGAAAAGGTATTTCTAATTATATAACCGTCATAAGAAGTTGCACTCATTGTATGCCTTAATGCTGCCCTTCATTGATGATCCAGAACTGTTATTTTCGATATGTGATGGGCAGCATTACGGCATTTATTGGAGTGTTGCTTCATATGACAAATATAACTTTTAATGGACAGGACAAATTGTATTATTTTCAGTGCACTATAAAGAGAAATATGATCGACCAGAGACCACCAACACAGTAAATTTACCGCAAGTTTCAATTATGATTCTGCAAAGATTGTTTGTTCCTTAACCTTCAAAATCATTTATCATATTGAAAGTAATATTGTTGGTTGATTCTGAGATTTTCGGGATACAAGTCACTTGTGAAATTACGTAATCACCAATAAAATATTGACAACAAGACTAAAATGTCCATTTTTGCACCTTTCGCTGACTTTAGCGCCCTGTATCAATGTCACGACCCATTGGTTTTATAGGACGACCACCCTGAAATAAACCGTCATGTATCATAATCCAGTGTCAAACCGAGTATAGATCACCGAGGAAATACAAGTTAGTTTATAAGCCTCTTTTCAGGATCAGCGTCTACATGTAGTCTAAATAAATACAATATCAACATTTTCCTAACATTTACGTTTTCGTATGAATTTAGTAATTTATAAAATACAGAGAACATACTTAAGAGTATCCAAAGTTAACAAACTACACGGATTATGTCACTACCGTGTTGACTTTGAAATGCATGTGTCTGCAAAATTTGGAAACCACCCGGTGTATTTTGCTGTTTACATAATCAGATTTGCAGTATCCACTGTACCAAATAAAAAACAACGCGCCAAAATCGCTAAACTCGTGCTAAAATTTTTGCTAAAATATATCAATGTATATTTCAGCTTAAGCGGCTTCTAAAGATGTCTGAAACGCCTACTGAAGCTGCTGAACGATAATTAATTACCTCCTACACTGTAGCAGCTTCAGTAGGCGTGACAGATATCTAAGCCGCTTAAATTGATTGCAATTTAGCGAGAATCCCCTTGGAGATAGATCGATCCACAGTCTGTACGATAGGGTCTGGGAATGGTCCCTTAAACACATGCCGCATCACTTCCTAACCAGCGTATAAACTTTTGAAGTGTGTCATTAGTTTCCCTACAATGTCACGAAAACCAAAATCGGAAACAATATCTACCACAGTGGATTGAACAGGCCAAAACATTTTATATTCTCCTAATACAATATCAACATTTCTAACTTCAATAGAGGACCAAAAATCGAAGGGGGAGGGGGGTAAGGACCCCCGACCCCCCCTCTAAAGCCATCACTGCATAAAGATCGTGCGAGACACTGCGACATAGCGGTTCCAACATTGGTTGACCTAAATATTCGACAGGACAGACTTAAGTGTCATAGAATATGCTTTATGTCTGATTGGCAGAGCAGTGCACGACAGGCAAACAACAATGCAAAAACTGATTCTGCATATTTCGGTACAACTTTGTTCATGGAGCAATTTATAAAATAAAACTTATTGTGTGGTGTCTTTTCTTATAACAGAAACGCCCACTTTTAAATGTGCTTAAAATATGCTTTGGCGTGATTTGGAAAGCAGTACGAGAGGCAACCCCAATGCAAAAAAAAAAAACTTAAAAGAATCTGCATTGTGGCAAGTTGCACTCTTTATTCCCTGAATCCAGCATTAAAGGGCTCAGTTTAGATAAATTATAAGAATAAACAATCTCAGGACAGATTACTCTTAAAAGATTTTCAACTTATTACTTTATATATACCTTTATAGTTTTTTTAACGCTATGCAATTTTATATTTTTATTCAATTGTTAAAGGTGGTTATATCAATAAATGCATTAACTAACAATCCAGAGTTTATATTCATAATAAGCTATTTTAACCAGGTGGCATTGTTTGCTGTGTTAGCATACCTTTTAGTCATGTGCGTGTTTATGTGTGTGTGTGCGTTCAGTTTACCTACCATATTCGCAGCTGGTTCCGCTAAATCCAGAAACGCAGGTACAAGAATAGGAAAACAGCCCGTCCGTGCAGGTCCCGCCATTTTGGCACGGCCCACTGGCACACTGGTCTACCGAGTCTGAATATTGACATAATTTAATAGTGTTGCTGCACTGATTAGTAACTTTCTAAAATTTGTTTTAATTAATTTTTATTAAAGTCCAGTACGTGTACGGACTTTCACAGGGCAAAATTTTTCTGTTTTTGTCCCATCACTGTGATTTTTGTATTGGAATGAATGTCAAATTTCACGTTATTTTAACGATAATGAACAAGGATGGAATAAACTAGTATTAATCAAAAACTATTTGGAATAAGTTAAACATAGGCACTGTATGGGTATAAACTATAACGTGAATACGTGCATTTGAAAGAGAAAGAGAGAGAAACTCACCTTCGTAGTCTTGTGCATTGCATTTATCCATGGCATTAGTCGCGTCGGACGTACTAATCAATGTATCAAATAAAAACACGCATCTCACGTATCCCATAAAACGGTCATTGGACGGAATGTTTTTGCAGCCCCCCGTATATTCCCCACCTGTGAATAAGTGATTGCATGTGAAATAGACTTGATGCATCTAAGCTCGCGGGGCTGGGTGAAAACAAACAAAAAAATTAACAAGCCAACAAACAAACAAAATGAAACATAACAAAACAAACCCACACCATGTAATTGAGCACCTGTTCAGCTTACCCCATTTACCTGACTAATTGAAACAACAAATAATTTTAATGACGTTACAAATCAACTATTTTGCTTTTCATGCTAGGCTGTTTGGTTAATTTTGGGTGCCTTTACATATTGATTTTTCAAGTTGGTTCGCATGTCAACAAAACATTTGAACACCATTACCAATGATAATGTCTCCGGACATTTCAAACGGTCCTTTAATGGAGGTAAAGTTTGCTGCAGTCAGAGAAGACGTACTGGTGCCGTAGCGTAGAGTCATAACCTGGTTTGGCTCGTCGTAAGTCAAAAACAGCCAGGAATCCGAAGTAAATATCGCACTATTCCCTGAAACGAATTCATATATGTCTACTGTTACACGTGCGGTGTCTATTAAAAAAAGTGCAATAATTTTCTTCGCAATATGTTGCCATAAATCTTGCATTTTTGTAACCATTGGTGACCTTTCGTGTAACAAAATATAAATATCTTATAACTTTTCTTTTAGTGCTTTTATCTTAAAACTTTTCTTTTCTTGGCCTTAACGGTGGAATACCTGGCAAAAGTGCCCGAGGCAGACAACGAAAGTCCTTTTCTGAAAATTTTGAATTACCAACAAGACACTCTTGGCCATGGGCGAGAAATAGAACCCTTTGGCAAAATATCATCGTTCGTCAAACACCGAATCGGTGATGGCACATGAAGAAGAAAATATGCACACAGTTCATACATTATGTGTTGAGATGTTTCTGGTGGACGGCACAGTCCAAATAAGTCAATTTAAAATGTGTTCACATTTGTTGTAATGAAAGTAAAACTGAAAACTGGCAGTGGAGCAAACGGATGATGTATTTTCTGGTTTCTTTGGATAACACAGCTGAGAAAATCAAACGAATAGCAGCCACCGGAAACGCGAAATGCAACACGCGCACGTTTTTTTAAATTCATTTTTTTTATTTTATACCACATACTTGCTTTTGAAATTAACGCTTATATTACCCACCAGGTGTCACTAGTTGCCCGGGACAGGACTTACACGGTGTCACTGCTGTAATGGCGTACCTCTCGGTGTCGATGGAAAGGGTAAATCCACCGTCAAATTGGAAAATGACAAAGTCATCAGAATCGGAGTTGAAGTGTAGCTTGATCCCCACTGAATTAATATAAATCAACGTCATCACAAATAGAATATGTATGCAAAAAGCAATCAACGAGCAATGAGCCTGATACTATAAAAAGAATCAAAATACCGGTACCTTTCGTGTGCATTTTTGAAACATTGCGGTTTCTTATTATCACTTTAAACTGTCAGTCTATAATGGTGTTACCATGTGTACACGAGAAAAAGGCTACAAACATTATAGAGCTAGAAAGAAACACACTATACAGTATTAAAAAATACTAACTTATGATACTAAACGACCCAG